CTCTCTGCAGAGCAGAGAGTGGTGGGCATGAGAAAGGCTGCTGCTGCGGGGCCCGGCCGTGCCCGCGTGTCCCCGAGCCCCAGGGAGAGCCCACCTGGAGCCACAGCAGCAGTTGGCCTGGCCCATCCCGCCCGGGACAGGAGGACCCTGGCCGTGCCCCAAGGACACGGCCCAGGCAGCCACAGCAAGGATGGGACGCGGGGTGCTGGGGCTGGTGCTGCTCCGTGCCAGCACAGCTCCGTCCTGCTGTCTCTGGTGGCCGGTGGCTCCAACTGACCAACACCGGGAGCCCAACGGAAAGTGGGCGGGCACTGGGGGGCACTGGGGCAGGGCTTCTCTCCACTATGGCCATCTCCCTCTGGCACCAGGGAACCCAGAGCAGGACACAGCAGAGGGCAACCATCACCTCCCTCCACCTGCTGCCCATGCTGTGCCTCCTGTGCCCAGGATGCACTCAGCCTTCTGGGCCCCAGGGGTACTTCTCCAGCTCCAGATGGGCCCTTGCTCTCCCCCATGTTGAACAGCAGGATCTCTCTGTCCGCGCCTCGCTCCAGCCTAGCAAGGTCCCTCTAGTTGGCAGCTTGACCCTCCGGCTCACGAGCCTCTCCTCCCAGTTGTGTGCCATCTGCAAGTGGTCTGAGGGGACTCTGCCCCATCCTCCAGACCACGGAATGTGAACAGGACCCGCGGAGTGCAGCGCAGGGGGTGCAGACACGCACTTAAATAGGACAGAACTGCTCACAGGAGGTTCAGAAATTTACGGGGATTTTTTTTTTTCTTTTGTGTTTTATATGCAGTGCTTCCTCCTTTTATTTTTGTGTTTGGAGTCACGCTTGAAAACGAACCGGTAGCCAGTGCATTCTAAGAGCACGCTTTCTTCTGTGCAAAGGGCCCTGCAAGGCCAAGGGATGCTGAAACAGCACAGCCTGAAATCATTAGCTCTACCTGTACTAATTTGCAATGCCATATAGTGGTGTGTGTAGTAACGTTCCAGATTGGAAGTATCCAATTTCTTGATAATTGCACTGACTGCCACATCAGAGAAGACAAGTCCCATCTTTTAGCCAATGTGATGGTTATTTTTTTGGAAGAGCAGGTGTAACTTGGTTGTCTTCTTGCCTTAACAAGACTTTTCTTTTCCCTTTTCTTTTCCCTTTTCTTTTCCTTTTCCCTTTTCTTTTCTTAGTATGGACAGATCTTGGGTTTATAGCTCATCCCAAGTGCCTTGCAGTCACACCATACAGAAGACTCTTCCTCTCCCTCTGATTCCTTCTCACACCTCCCCACACTGGTCACACAGCTCTGTCTTTCCCAACATCTGGATCACTATGCAGTGTGTGAACGCTTATTTCACCTTTACTAATTACATACTAAGAACAGTGTTTTTCTCCCCTTTACCTGGAATGAGAAAGGTGTTCCAATCCTCTTTGAGCAAAGAAACACTTTGGAAAAGAGTTACAAAAGAAAGTGGCAACAATATGTTAATTGTAA